GAGAGTGCGGTGCCGAGCTCAGCCGCAGGCTATCGCCCCGCGGTGGGGGCGGGGGGGCTCGGGTAGACCCCGGGCTGCCGCCGCCAACTCCGCGCCTGCAGGCGGGGGGACGTGAATGCTGAGCACAGAGATCCACACGCTCGGTTTTCCAGATAGAATGCTGTGCTGGCGTTAATACCGTTTTTAAAAGTGCCAGCCTATCCCACGGGACCAATCGATATCCATGAGCGACTGCCTCCAGTGTACCTGTTGTAAATGAGTTTTGCAGCCTGTCCTCATTAGCGCTTTTCTGTCGTTCTTTAAAAACAGAAAAATGCCGTCCTTCCCACCGTGGCTGACGTCCCGGTTCATAGATTATAGGAGCAAGAATCTTTCTCACCATGTCCATATCCCCTTGTGCCAAGGCTTCTTGCCTCACTTTTACCCACGCATCATCCCCAGCTAAGGGAGGACACAGGCCAGATTCTCTTTTAGGATTTACAGTGTCAGGGTCTAAAAGATTATCACAGTCAAAAGACCCAGCACATAAATCTTGCTCCCGAGGTTCAAAATAGGTGTCCTCGCCCTCTGTGTTCTCACTCTCTGCATTAACAGCCTGGCCGCGTTCGTTATTTTGTCTTTTTATTCGCTCAAAAATAATGTTCCGTGCTAGCAAGAATTCTGCCGCAACCCGATTCCCTCGCGTTGCACAGTCCCATAATCTTACTCCTGCTTTATCCCATGTTAGAACAGTGAATATAGTAAATGCAGCTGCTCCCCACTTTTAAATTCTCTTCAAGGCATGCGAGTTAATATGGACCATATATTTAGCTAACAGTCTTTCCATCAGTGAAAGCACTGACTTTTCTTCTGAGGGTATTGACCTACCCATCGCTTCCCCACAGCTCACCTTGCTCACCCTGCAACGGTGATTGATGCCAGCCTCTGCTTTCTTTCAGCAGCTTCTTAAGGTCTGTGGGGGTTGCTACCGGAGCGATCCAAGTTGGTCACACTTATTTCCCACACACACAGGGCACCACTTGTGGCAACTGAGGCACAGACTCTCCACTGAAGTGCAAAAGGAAAGACCCATTATCATTATTACAATAGTACATACTCATACTCTCGCCAAAGCTCTTACTTCATAATTAGTAAATCAGCAATTAGACAGCAATCTACCTTTTCTCCTATCAGCATAAGACCGCTCTAACACACGCTGTGCAGACCAGTCACCTTCTTGTTCACACGCTGTTCACGCGGCGATATCTTCTCACAGTTCAGCACTTTCCCACAGCTCAGCTGTCCGTTGTTCTTCCCTGCATCTTGGCACAACTCAGCAGTTTCTTATCTATCTTCCAAGGCCTATTTTCCATCAAAGCCTAGCAGTTTCTCAGAGGCTGTGTAAGGCTGACAGGCCGATGCCTCCCACACACCACCAAAGCCATCTGTTGCGGTAGAGATGGACACGACAATGTTTTTGCAGCAGAATAGCCATCTTTATTACTCCTCTCATATCTTAGGTACTTTATCCTTTTATCCATACATCATTCTCACTGGTGACATGGCTGTTTGTCTATTACTTTATTGGCTACTTTTCTTGAAATCCGCCACTGTTCGGGTATCTGACACAGTGTTTTTCTTCTTTCTCCTTATCTTCAGTTCCTTTCTCAGGCTGACACAGCACTCCTCCGGGACTTTTCCAGCTGCTCAGGGGTACACAACAAGCTGGTCAAGGCCAAACTGTTCACTCTCTGTCAGGCATTCACAGACCAGATGCCTTCCCCGACAGCCATCGCCCACTGCGTCCCACTCCGACGCAGGCCTTCAGCATTCAGGAGTGAAAAGCACTTCCTGAGCTAAGCCACAGATCAGAGTTCCCTCCCTCCTATAAAACATCTCCTCAGTCAGTGGCCCACCTCTGGGTTGTTAATAAAGGCAGCCTAGAGATACCCACCGTCTGGTGAAATTCTTTAACGCCACCGTGCTGCAAAAGTAGCAGCAGCTTACAATGCAAGAAAAAACCCCAAAACATCTCTAAACAAATTACACCTAGTTCACAAGAAATCTGAAGCAGCCAGGAAGGTCCAAGTGACTCATTTGGGACAATCCTAACAAACTCACACAATCCCTGGACGTTTGACAGAAGACCAGAGAGCTGCATGTTGATTCTGCTAGTAGGCAGCGAATTTGCAGATTTTCAGGAGAGGCTTAGGATACACGAGATAAAATGGCTTAGCGGGAAGAGAATAAATAAGACCGTATTTTAATCCTTACTGCGAGCGTAATATAGCCCTGGCCTAACTGGCTCTTTGTCTTCTGTTCACCTAGGTACAACATGCGTTTTGAATACCAAAGCTTTTCCCACATCTTCTGTTGGAGAACGGCTTGCAGAGAGCAAGGCCATGGGTCTCTGCAGAAGCTGATTGCAGCCACCTGAGGTAAACAGAGGAAAATACCCAGCGTACAGTGATGCTAACAAGGACTGTTATGATATCATAGAGAGAAGTTGTGGCACATTACGGCCTTGGGGGTGATTAAAAAACAGCCTTGGGAAAGAAGCAGGCCAGAAGAAGGAAGATGTTGTGACATGCCTGAGATACCACAAGGGGCTGGAATATTATAATGTAGCCTTTTACATGTGTCCAATAGATATGTGAGTAGTATGCACGATTATTGTAGAGTGCTTGTATAAGGTGTGATTTCTTTCAATAAAGTTGAAGCTTGCTCTATCATTCACATTGAATCGGCTGCTTGCTTCCTCCGCCCGCCGCAAGTGGCGCACTGAACAGGGTTACCCGAACGCTGCTTTTTCCACCAAACGGAACCCGGGAAGCGACGGGACGGACTCGGAGTAGGAAAGGCAAGTAGGAAAGCGCCAGCTGCAGGTGTTCGCTCCGAGAAGGGCTACACCGGAAAGGCCACAATAGGGGATTTACCCAGGAAAGGCCAAGGAATTCAGGAATTCAGGAATTAAGGAATTGAGGAATTAAGGAATTAAGGAAACTGGTCGTTGGCTGCCTGATTGGATGTTAAAGAATGTTGTTAAGCTACACGGTCCAGCATTTTAAGGAATTTAAGGAATTTTTGCCTGGGCAGGAATATTTGCACGAGAGGTAGTCCTTAAACTTTTTGCTTTTTAGAAAAGCAGGGAGTAAATCCGATAAAAAACTTAGCTGCGCTGATTGATCTGGGCAAGGCTAAGGGACACTTTAAAGAACCAAATTTATTGTTTGAAGAGGCAGAATGGTGTGATATTCTTTTAGACCCTGATGCTGTAAATCCTGAAAAAGACTCTGAACTGTCTGGTCTGTGTCCTCCCTTAATTGGGGATGATCCGTAGATAAAAGTGAGGCGAAAAAACCTTGGCGTGAGGGAATATGGACATGGCAAGAAAAGTTCTTACTCCTGTAAGCTATGAGCCGAGTCATCAGCCACGTTGGGAAGAACGGCATTTTTCTGTTATTAAAGATTTAGAGAAAAGCATTAATAAGTACGGGCTGCAAAAACTCAGACGACAACAGCTGTACTGGAGGCGATGGCTCAGGGATATCGACTGACCCCATAAAAATTGGCTAACACTTTTAAGGAAAAAGCGGCATTCACGCCGGCACAGCACTCTACCTGGAAAACCGAGGTGTAGATCTCTAAGCTCAACATTCGGAGCTGGCGGCGGTCATGCAGCACAGGCTTTATGTGTCCTTAATAGAGTTTACGTATTGGTAATATTTGTCATTTTATGCTGTGAGTAATAAGCGTCAGGAGCTCCTTTGTGTAGTTGTGTGTGTGTGTGTGTGAGACGCGGCCCACTGCAGCTGCGGAGTTCTCCGGACAGTGGAGCGGCCGGCGAGAAACTACAGGGCCCTAGTGCCCGCCCGCTGGGTCATCGGTGCTGTGGTTGGTTTGGGCTCAGGGTTATAACTGTTACAGGTAAAATACCTCCTCTAACGGGAGGCAGTAATTCTGTGTTGATTGTTGTTTTGAATTTAGGTGCATACTCTGTGGGGAGAGTGCACCTCTGAACCATCTGCCTAATGGAAATATTGTTTAAAAGAAAAAAAAAAAAAGAAAAAAATTATCTGCAACCTTACAGGGGTTGTTTGTTTTACCAGGGGTCGTAGATGCTGATTATGATGAGAAAAATCAAAATTATGGTCTGTACCCCTGTGTTCAGTAACCAAAGGATCAAAATATTATTCAGCTTGTTAATTTTACTGCGGCTCCCTTTAACGTTATGCCAAGAAGCCGCAATTACTCAGGATTTGGTTCAGCAGGTACTCCTTGAATATTTTTGGACTTAAACGTGACACAAGGTTAACTTCTGATAAAATGCACTCTTGTTAAAGCTAAAAAATCTGTCGAGCTGACAGGCATTTTAGATACTGGTGCAGATGTGACCATAATATCTGTGAGCAGATTGGCTGTTAGCTCTGGTACCTCAGATGCTTTTCAGGGTTGGTGGTCATGCTGTAGCAATTTAAAGCAAGGATCTCATTCATGTAAGAGGCCCAGAAAACTTGAGTAACAAATATTCATCCATTTATATTGAAAAACCCCTATTGCATTTTGGGGTTGTAACTGATGAGGAACTCAAATTGGATCAAATTTGTCTTAATCACCACTGTAGCACAACCCACCCTGAAACCCACCCTGACACTAACCTTGTAAACCGAATCACCTGTGTGTATTGTCCTGCAACAACTTAAAACTGTTATTAAGACTTTAAAAGATTTACAGTCACTGTTAGGAACCATAAATTAGATACAGCCGTCGTAGGCCTAACTCATGATGATCTGCATAACTTTTTTGGTATTTTGTGAAAAGATCCTTCACTAACATCACCCAAAGTACTTGCAGAGAAAGCAAAACAAGATCTTCACCGTATAGCTAACAAGCATCGGCAGTATACTGCATTCCCCCACAGGACAAGCCACCATAGAAAGAACACACTAGACCTTGAAAGTGCTGTTGCAAAAAAAAAAAAAAAGGGGGGAGAGATCTTGGCTCTGGGTCAACCATTTGCTCTGCTGTAAAACGGATGCATTTTTTCCACCAGAATGCCAGAGCAATACAAAACCAGTTTTCTTTATCAAGGCATCCAGCTAAAGACATCACTGCAACTCGCCCTGAATACCAGACAGACTCCATCTCTTCAACAGGGAAGTGGTGTCAACTCTTGGGGACTCATCTCCTCAGAATTATAGCAGTCTGTTGTCACTCACTTAGCTGCATTTCAAATGTTAAAATATGTACATGTGTCTGTTAATACCTTTCCTGGAGCACTGTTTGCATCCTGTCATACAGCGGGGAGTCAAGCATCTGACCTGCATTCCCCATTCACCGGCTGGTCAGGCCACTGTGCAGCATACATCTAGCAGCTAAAGCGTCTATTACAACAACAACAACAACAACAAAGGGGCAAGATGCAAGATATCGATCTACATCTCACAAAAGGCTAAATAAGGCATTATATGTCATGAACATTTTAAACATTTCCCCTGTCTCACAGGTGCCACCAGTATTGTGTCATTTTTCATCACAGATACCAGATCAGCAAGAAGTCCAGAGCAAAGCTCAAGTGTTAACAAAACCTAGAAAGGGGTAACTGGGAAGGACTATTTCTTTAATAACCTGGGGAAGAGGTGATGCTGGTGTCTCCACAGGTCTCATCTCCAATGGTCACCAGCAAGGTGTGTGCAACCACACCTGGGGCGTGAGAGGCAGCCAGCACTCAGGATCCAGCTGTGGGTGCTGTGGGTGCCCCTGTGCTGACAGTTTGTGATCTCTTCAACTGATCATTCAAGCAGAATGTCTGAGTGATGTTTGGTTGTCAATTCTTTAAAGAGAAAATGCTAACAGTAATTGTAACTTCTTAATGAAATATATAAGCTTACTAGTCACTTATGCAAGATGTACTTAGATAAAATATAGTTATTATTAAGGATAAGATGCTGTAAGAATGTGTGTATTCAACTTTCTTTGTTTAGTAATATTAAGAATTAAGAGCTCAAGTATTTAACCTTATCTAGAAACTCCCTTGGTTTTTCCCCCTGGAGTACTGGCCAGGCTCCAGGTGGAACCCAACAGGAGGATGAAATCAGATGTTTCTGCTCAAAGTTGCCAGTTATTTTGGCCTGTTGCTTTAAGGGCTGGACCTGGTTGCAGCAACTTTGGATGCCTCACCTATGGATGGACGCATCACGTAGGGTTTCCAGTTTGTGAGGAAGGGCACTCTAAACTCTCGCTGTATCCAGGGTTCCCTAGCAATTGCGGATCTGAATGTTAGTACTTCTATTAATTAAGTGCACTATTCCGTACTTTCCTTACTGTTTATTTTGTAATATTTAGTCATATCCTTTGAATATGGGTAATATGGGATGCTTTGTACTTAATAGGGTACCTTTAAGAGTTTATTGAGGTGATTAGGAATAGTAGTATTGATTATAGTAAGTATTAAAATAGCATATAGTTGTATAATGAGACATATCAGTGAATTTATGCTTGTGCAGCGTGCACAAAAAGAAAAAGGGGGAATTGTTGGAGAACGGCTTGCAGAGAGCAAGGCCATAGCTCCCTGCAGGAGCTCGTTGGCCATAGCTCCCTGCAGAAGTCGGTCCCAGCCACCTGAGGTAAACAGAGGAAAAAACCCAGCGTACACTGATGATAACAAGGACTGTTGTGAGAACAGGGAGATCAGTTGGGGGACATTATGACCTCGGGGGTGAGAGGAAGGCAGCCCTGGGAGAGAAGCAGGTTCACAGGAAGAAAGATGTTTATGCATACCAGAGATGCCACAAGGGGCTGGGATATTATAATGTGACCTTTTAGATGTACCCAATGGCTGAGACATTATAATGTAGTTTCTTAAATGTATCCAATAGAGTTGCAAGTAGTGTATTGTAGACTGCTTATATAAGGTGTGATTTCTTTCAATAAAGTTGAAGCTTGCTCTATCATTCACATTGAATCGGCTGCTTGCTTCCTCCACCCGCCGCAGGTGCCTTCTCCTGGAATTAAAGTAATCGCACACAATCTATGAGAAGATGGGGTGGATACTTTCTTCTTCAGGCCAACTACAAAAGTTTTTGAGAATTTTGAACATCCCTGGGATGTTCAAGCCAGCATGATCTTATATCTGTATCCTGAATGTGTCTCAGGTCTTGTTTAGGGTTACAGAAGAATTTTTAAGAATGTCACTCAGAGATCTGCCCCAAGGCTGGATAGTCATGGGTGACATGGCATGGGGGACAGTATGGGCAGGTATCCAGAGAACTTCTTGTCTTGACCCAGACTGAGAACTCAGAGAGTCATAAAGGTTCTGTGATCCCCTCAAGGTTAAATTAATAACTGGACACCAAACAACGAGTTAAAATGTTTTACTTGTGGTAGAAAAAAAAATTAAACTTGGAAAAGGATAATAAACAATGTGGTCTCTTATAAATCTATAAGAAAGAGAAGAAATTAAAGAAAAGAAGAAGAAAAGAAAGAGAGTCAAAGAAATCTGGATCACTGCCCCAGGTTCCAGCACTGTCTCAGGTTCAGTAATCTTGGGCAGCGGGTGCACACACAGCAAAGTTTTCTGTCATCTTTTTAAGTTGTCTTATCAGCTGATTAGCATGCCAGACAAAGAGAGGTAGGTGTTTCATGAAATAATTTCTGTGAGAGATGGGGAGGGGGAGGGGGGGGGCGAAAAGGTGGAGCATGTGTTCTGTGCATGTGTTGAGGGAGAATGAGGTGCACCAACCCCCTCATCCAGTTGAGTTGGTGGTTGTACTCGCCTCTTACCAGTTTAGCAAGGTCTGAGGCTTACACAGTAAAGTCACAAAGTACTGGGCTTACACAATGGACCCAGTGATCAACGGTCCTTGTGCTTCAAGAGAAACATTTGTGCAGGCTACAAAGCTACAATCCCCCCTTTGAGACTTATCCAAGGAATCTGACAATGCAGCTGCAAGGGAGTGGGGGAACATGCATCCTTCAATATATTCCATGCTTCCTTGGGCAACATTCCTTAGACTAATCACAAAGGCCACAGCTTGTCCTTGAGTTTTTCTGTGTTGATGAATGTTTGAGGCATTAATTCTTTCAGTTTCTTAAAATTGTAACCCCCAATGGTTTGGAATTTTGCTCCTGAACAACTGCAAGACCCTTATAAAGTGATAGAATATTTGAAAAGAAAATGCTGTGGCTGTCCCAAAGAGGCACAACTGTGCTGGGCACTAGAGAGTATCTACTGAACACTTCAATAGTATGCAGTGCCCTCAGGGGGAAGGAAGTGGGGTGGAAAAGTTACCTCGACGCTACATGCCAAGGTACATGAGTTGAAAGGAAAAACAATCAAAAAAAGGGAATCTTCCTGGAAAGATGCTACTCCAGGTTCCAGCAGGTGAATTCCCAAACAGAGTAGAAGGGCTGATCTCACTTCTGATTCTCTTGGAGGGACTTGTGATTCTTCTTCAGAAAAAATGAGTAACAAATACTATGACCAGGATTAGAGAGGGGCCCTGCCTCCAGCCAGGTGGAGAGACAGGACAACTGCTTTTACTGCACTGTGTGGATCTGATGGCCTAGCATGTGAAACCCAGAGGAGTACAAGGCTATAGTAGATACTGGTGCACAGTGTGCCCCATGCCATCAAAAGAGGTAGAACTAGTACATATTTCTGGAGTGACAGGGGTATCCCAGCAGCTAACTGTATTGGAGGCCGAAGTGAGCCTAACTGGGAATAAGTGGCAAAGGCACCCCACTGTGACTGGCCCAGAGGTCCTGTGCATCCTTGGCATGGACTACCTCGGGAGAGGGTATTTCAAGGACCCTAACGTATAGCTGCATTGGAGACGAAGGCAATTTAACATCTATTAACTTTGCCTGGTGTTGACAGATAAAGCCCGGGTATCAAGAATAACACCAATATGGTTTGCCAGCTTGATCCCATTTTATTAAGTACAGAGCATCTTATATACTATTAGGGCGTGATCACATACAGCTAAACAAGCTGTGATTGGTTCTAAGCTACTGTCCACACAATATAACTCATATTTCATTGGTACAACGCAAGAAGCACACGCAAGAAGTACGAGCCTATGGACCCCCTACTCAATGTTTCAACTTCACCCCATATCTCTAGTTAAGGAATTTGCAAAACAATAGCTCTCTATGCAGTGGCAAGGCAGAGAGGAACATTGAACAGTAGTTCTTTACACAGAGGCAGCTAGCAGAGAATTACCATGTCGGTATCAAGGACCAGGTGGCCGTTATCTTCCAAAAACTTCTCCACAGCCTGGTGTCTCTGAGGAACCTTCAGTTGTAGGATTGCTGAGGGTCAAAGAACAAGCATCCATCACTACTACAATGGTGCACCAGTGGCAATATCACACAAACTGAGTCCATAATTCCTATTCATAAGCTGATTTTTCAAGTGGAGAGCCAAGGAGTGGTCACCAGGACTCGCTCACACTTTAACAGCCCCATATGGCCACTGTGAAAGTGTAATGGAGTGTGGAGACTAACAGTGGACTAACATGGCCTGAATGAAGTCACACAGACACTGAGTACTGCTGTGCCAGACATGCTGGGGCTTCAACATGAACTGGAGTCAAAGGCAGCCAAGTGGTACGCCATGATCGATATCACTAATGCATTTTTCTCCATCCCTCTGGCAGCAGAGTGCAGCCCACAGTTTGCTTTCACCTGAAGTGGTGTCCAGTACACCTGGAATCAGCTGCCCCAGGGGTGGAAGCACAGCCCCACCATTTGCCATGGGCTGATCCAGACTGCACTGGAACAGGGGGAAGCTCCAGAACACTTGCAGTACATTGATGACATCATTGTATGGAGCAATACAGCAGAAGAAGAGTTTGAGAAAGGGAAGAAAACAGTCAAAATCCTTCTGAGAGCTGTTTTTGCCATAAAACAAAGTAAAGTTATGGGACTTGCACAGATCAGTTCTGGGAATAAAATGTCAAGATGGATGTCATCAGATCCCGATGTCTGTGATCAACAAAATAGCAGCTATGTCTCCACCAACTAGTAAAAAGGGAAGGCAAACTTTCTTAGCGGGTTTTTGGGGACTGCGTATTTCAAATTATAGTTTGGTTGTAAGCCCTCTCTATCAAGTGACCCAGAACAAGAATGGTTTTACATGGGGCCCTGAGCAATGACAAGCCTTTGAACAAATTAAACAGGAGATTGCTCATGCAGTGACCCTTGGGCCAGTCTGGGCAGGACAAGACATAAAAAATGTGCTTTACACCACAGCTGGGGAGAATGGCCTTACCTGGAGTTTCTGACAAAAAGCACCAGAGGAGACCTGAGGCTGACCCCTGGGGTTTTTGAGTCAGGGACACAGAGGAACAGAGGCCCACTATCTCCAACTGAAAAAGAGATACTGGCAGCTGTCACATCCCACTCAGATGAGGGAGACAAGTGACTTAGATTCATAAATCCCCAACGGAACAGACAACGGTGAGACAAATCTCAAAGTCCAGACATTTATTAACTTCTCACAATGTACTAATTGGATACATGATAATTGGCTAAGTATATAATGAGTTATGGCAAGGAATACAGTATGCCTTGCATTAATTAATGGTAGTGAAGGAGAAGGGGAAAACGGAAAGGAGGGAGATAGACTAAAGAAATAGAGATCACTGGTCTGGGTTCCTGCGTTGATCCCACCAGTCAGAGTTGCCAGAGATGCCAGTCAGAGGCATCTGTCTTCTTCACTTCATTGCATTCTCTGAACCCCTCCTCCTCCTTGATCCCCCTCAGTTTATACCCACTTTCCTTGGGTCTGTCCCCTAGGTCGACCCACATACCTACGTATACCATGTATGGGGAGGGGTAAGGGGTTTCATGGGATGATGTAATTAGCATGATCTTATTAGTCTTTGTTAGCATATTCAGGGTGTTGACTTTAATATGTATTTTGTGGATAATGAAGCAAATTCATTCACCGGACAGATAGCCCTTGAAACTTGACCAGGTGCCCCAGAGCAGGGCCATCCTGTCCCTACAGGACTCCCCCCTCCAGCTGCATCCTGTCTTATTGAGGCAGTTCTATCATCTTTGATCTCCACACTATCCACCCTGTGACTGTAATTTCAATACTCTCAAGTGTTTGACATATTCCTTGGCTCAGAGGGCTAAGAGGACCTGTTCTTCCAAAATGTCTCTCACATCCCACCCCATGGCTCAAACACTCCAAGTACTTCCTTGGCCATTGTGATCCATACATAATGAAAAGGTATGAAGGAAAAGAAAATAGAGGGTGAAAGAGAATCTAATTGCTGCAAGGCATACCATTAAAAGCAAGAATTCATGTAATATTGTAAGACCGACATTTACAAGCCATCTTCCCCCAATCCGTGAGTCTCAAGGATCCCAGTGATGTGACTCATGACCCAGGGTTCCATCCATCAAACCAATTCTTCAGTCACATTGCTTGAAAAAGTTCTCTGGTCCTTCCTCTTGGCACGGGTCTTCTCTACAGAGGTGGTGGCATTGTGGATGGTGCTGCAGCGTTGTCCCTCAGTTAGACTCAGCACACCACACACTCCGTGTTCCTTCAGCAACGCCAGCTGTTTCTGCAACACTTGTTGTGTCTGCACGTTTAATTCCCCAAATGCATACCTTGTTTAATTACTTAGTACATACAATTGCTAAGTTAAATTTTTCAAAACTGTTTGAGGTTATACAATCATATTATCAGGTAGCATGACAGCTTCTAAGCCCAGGGCCAGCTGTTGTTCCCAGGTATAGTAACCTGGATATTGTACCCACTGATTATGTGCCTGGCATCACTAGGGCTGTTAAGCTCTCTTCATTTTCGGTGTGGGGTAATGGTGTAATTAAATAAGCTCTTGAAAGGCACCTTGTTGGAAAACCAATAGAACATCTTAATCCAGCCATACTGTAAGGATTTAAGTGGTAATATGTCTTCTTCAAGCAGGAACCTAGGGCCGAGCCCTGTTGAGGTGGCATCTGCGTAATTCCTAACATGAACTAGGTGTCAGCTGCATAATTCCTGCAATAGGCCTGGACTCCATCACTACTAATGGTGAAATCGTCATCTGGTACAAAGTAAGCCTGGAAGGACAGTTCACTGCTAGGTCTCTATGAAATCCCACTCTGAGTTTCAGAAATCTACAGAAAATTTGTTTCATCATTCACGTGAGCATTTGTGTTTCTTAATGCTGAAGCAAACCAGATAATTTAGTCATACCTGAATTTCAGTGCCTTAAACAGGGGAAAATGTATAGTAGGTATCTACATATAAATCAAGGAAAAATAGTGTGAGAAAAGAGAATCTCTCTGTTGTAGACTACACATCCATTCAAAAACTAAGTATTTCTATACAGCTATGCATTTGTGGAAAAATCATCCATCAATTATTGCATCTCTATATTTTTTAAACATTGGTCAGATTTGCTCACAAAACCAGCTGTATCATGCTCATAATCACAAACCTTTTCCTTCCCAGGCAAACTGGTACAGCTTTGTTGAAATCAGCATTGCTATGATATTTCATCCACACCTTACAACTCTGCCTTGGTCCTCATAATAATACAGAGCTATAATTTATGACCCTATTGTTGACTATAAAAACTAGACCTTGCTGTGACCTGTAGGAAAACAGCTATTTCTTCTCTGTTGCAAGAAACTCTGAACAGATCTGGTTTTGACTTAGCAAGATGATGTAAATGGACAGGATTATGTTAATATACTTTTCAGGTAATATGAAATTAAAAGAATCAAACAGTTCTGTGTCCCGTTGGCCATAAAAGGTGACTAAAAACATGGCAACAGAAAGATGACCGCATTGTAGAAATCTAGGGTATGATCCATTGTAAGTTTAGGAAAGACACAGAGGACTAAACATGCATTTCTCAGACATCCACACCATGGTGCCAAGTATGATAGAAGACATTCAGGAAACTTGCACTCTTCTAAAACAGCATCTGGAAACCATATCAGGTAAGCAGGTGCATGTTGCGGGCATCTTCTCTCTGTTTCAGCTCTGGCTAATTGGAGGAATGGTCATATACATCTGTCCCTGGGTAGACTATCACCATGAATATGGCAAAGTACATGCAGTCAGGAAAGGAAAACATACTTCATCTCTCATGATGATCTCTCATCATACTTCATCTCACTGAATGGCTGGAAACATGTTCTGTGCCCCATGCCACTGCCTGGAATACTATCCTGGTCCTTGAAAGAGAAGTCCTATGGCAACAGGGCACCCCAGAATGAATTGAGTCAGACAAGGGGACTCATTTCCAAAACAACCTCATAAACACCTGGGTCAAAGGGTATGGCATTGAGTGGGTACATCACATCCCCTATGCTGCACAAGCCTCCGGGAAAATTGGATGATAAAATGGACTGCTAAAAACTACACTGAGAGCAATGGGGGGTGGGACCTTCAAACACTGGGATACACATTTGGGAAAAAGCTACCTGGTTAGTTAACTATAGAGGCTCTACTAGTTGAGCTGGCCCTGCCCAATCAAAACTTCCGTGTATTGCAGAAGGGGATAAAGTCCCCATAGTGCACATGAAGAATATATTGGGGAAGACAGTCTGAGTTGGTCCTGCCTCAGGCACAGGCAAACCCATTCACAGGATTGTTTTGGCTCAGGGTCTTATTTCTTCTTTATCCTTGGGATACCTGAGTGTTTGCACTTGCCTGTGACAGATGCATAGCCATATGTTACACCCTCAGGTTATTGTTGTAAGTAGAAGAACAAGCACCCAGATCATCCTTCTTTGCAGGGTTGGAGGCTGTCTGACACCTTTGATGCCTGCTGTTTTACTGACTGGTTTACCATTTTGTGGCTCCAGTGTAGCTAACCACTTCCAGGTTATTCTACCACTGCTGCAATTGGCATGTGTGGGCACATATGTGATGCAGATTTGACACTGATATTTTCTTCTCTGGTAATTTTGGGCACCTTACTCTCTGTTGCTATGTCTTACATCTATGCTGTCATCGCTGTCCTGAAGACCCCTTCTACTGAAGCCTCTTCCACTTGTGTTTCCTATCTCATGGTTTTCTCATTGTGTTGTGGGGCAGGAACTTTCATGTATTTGAGTCTAACTGCAAGGACTTCCTTGAATATGAACAAAATTGTACCAACAGTACACAGTGCGGCCACTCACATGTTGAATTAAATGATCTGCAGCCTAAGAAATCAAGATATGAAGAACACTTTGAGGACAATGCTCATAAAAAGAAAGTTGGGAAGGGGGTGGGTGTCACGTCCCACTCCAGCGAGGGGGACAAGTGACTCAGATTCGCAAATCCCCAATTGGAGCAGACAACAAGTCTCCAAGTTCCAAGTATTAACTACCTACAATGCACTAACTGAACACATGATAACTGGCTAAGTACAGAGCAAACTATGGCAAGCAATATAATATGCTTTACATTTCTTAGAAAAAAGGAAAAGAGGGAGATA